AATCTCCAACTTGGAGTGCCACCAAAATAACACAGATTTCTGGCACAAAAATGGCTCGAATTATCATGATCAGGCAATTGATATAAAATCAACTCCTCATATTTTTGGAACTTCCACGAGTGTTACTGTTTGTTGTAATAAAAAGATAATTTTTCTTTTCTTTCCAAAGGACTCCAAGGAAATCATTGGAAGAAGGGGCATTACCATGTGCTTTCCTGTGCACACATGTGGCTGATCTCCCTCCCAGTTACAGGGGTCAAAGGGTGAGCAACACACTTGTGCTACACAAAAGTTTTTACAGATCTTACTGCTACAAGTAAGATCTGGGGTCTGGGGTTATTTCTACATATTTCCAGTGGTAAAATAACTCCAATGCTTCAGTGCACCATGTTTCCAGAGCCAGAAAATTTGCAAGGATTTGAGAGCAACAATACTTATTACTTTATTATTTCAAAAAATAAAATTATTTCAAAGCTAGGTATTTTATCAAAACAATACACTCCTCCCACCTCCTCCCATCCTTCCATTTAGTTAAAGACAGGCATCGTGCCTAACCTCAGCCACCCTGGTTTCCTGTCCCTTCTCTGCAGTAGTGCCTTCTCCAGTTATCAAAACTGGATGGAAGGTGTTACACTTAAACAGAATACACTTCTAAGGAAGAAATACCAAGAAACCTCTTCATCCAAAGATAATGCATGAAAATGCTTTATGCCAGGTTTCCAAGCTCTCAAGGTTCTGACTGTCTTTGTTATGCTTATTTTCACTAGGAAGGTTGTCTGGAACTCATGGCAATGTTTCTGTAATCTCCAATTAATCAGTTGATAAGATTTTTTCTCCACATGCTCCACCATCTGATACATCTTGACAGGTGGCAGAAAAGCCACAATTATATGTTCATCCTCTGACTTGGTTCAGAGGATGAACATATAATTGTGTTACGTGAGTGGGAAAAACTTCAAAATCAAAACCTGCAAGCCCCTCATCTGAAAATGCATGACAGACTTACTGACAAATGGGGTCAACATCCCTGCAGACAAATCAGGAAACTGAATGGAACACATTCTGTGTCAGTTTTTGGGTGTTCAGTTATTTTTGAAAATATCTGGCTGGTGGGTAAGAAGGAGCAATCTGTAGCAGGTTTTCCAAAACTACAATGCACAATTTTTCAATGTTCTCTGAAAAATCAAAAATCTCTTGCTGGCACAAGCAACTGTTGTAAAGGTACAATGGGTGAATGGGGAGTTCAAGAAAATAGCTAAAAATAATCAGAACCTTTTCTTTTTTCTGTTTAAGTCAGATTTTAGACCATCTTTACTTAAAGAGATTGATTCTGCAGGCACAGTTGAACATGAGTGCTCAGTCCATGAGGAGGCATCCACAGAGGTTTAACTGAGAAAGTGGGAATAAATCTTAGTTTTCCTTTTTTATTAAATATTAACTAAGGCAAAGTTAAAGAAGGAAGACATTTCACACATACCTAAATCTGTCTATCACTATCCAAATTTCCAAAAAACTGCACGTTATTTATCCATTCTGTAAAAGCATTACAAATCAATGTGTTTGCTCATGATGCATAACCCAAACAGCACAAATGCTCTCTGCAGATCCTGAAAATGTTCTTTTACTTTTCCCTCTGATTTGTTTTCTCAGCTGCAATCCCCTCAGTTTTTTCTATTTACTTTTTGCTGGATGACAATTCTTTGCTTGTATCCTATTCTTTGAAACAATTCTTTGAAATGTATCCTGTATTTATTTCAGTTCCTGCAAATCACTTGAGTAAAATGAACCAAATAGGCACAATGAAACAACTGTCTGGGACAGCATGGCTCCCTAATCTATGGAACAATAAATAATTTTCTCTCAGATCACACATTGACTGTATCAAGCATAAGGGGCCCTTTAGTTTTTAGAAAGTGAAAACTTTCTGATGTTTGTCTTTTGACAAAAATGATGAAGTACCAAACCCCATACATGCCTGAACATACCTGTTGCTAGCATTACTGTTTCAGTCCTCAAAAATACCTGCAAGCTGAAAAGCTGAGTTCAGAAAAATGAAACCAATGAACACCCTCCACAGTTTATAGTAACAGATGATCCTCACTGTAAAGGAGCAGGTGGGACTCATGCATATGCTATCAGAAAATGGTTCACACAACATCTAAGCTATCAAGAAGGTATTAGATGTTCTAACAAGAGAGAAAATATTGTACCTTTAAAGGCAATTTTTTGATCTAGAAAGTTAAAGCAGTATTTTTATAAACTCAATTCATCATGTTATTTGTTGTCTTTAGATGGGACAATTTTTCCAAGTACCAATAGCTCAATGAACATAAATTAAATTAGTTCTAGCTTAAGATTTGTACCTATGGAATCATCACAAATTGTTTTTGTAGTGTAACTACAGGAGGAATTAAGATACAGAGGATTAGTTGACAATTGTACCTGTTTAAGCGCTACAAATGAATGGCAAGACCTCTACAAAAGGCTAGAAGTGTAAAAAATATGCAGCTTTATAATAAAGAATATATCTTAATTTTCATGGGGAAAACCCCTTTTACTACCAGAAAGGTGGGAAAGTTATTCTTGAACTTCAGTCTTGTCTCATTAAGCCATCAGAGTGCTACAAAACAACACCAAAGTTTTTTCTGCTAAAGGGGTGTCATAAAATATCACTGAGAAATGGTGGCAATAAGAAATAGCTGTTCATTCCAGAAAAAACTGTATTGATAAGGTAAAAGTTTACAAGACCACAAGAATGTTGAAAAGGAGGAAGAGGATCAGTTGCTCTGTTTCTGCAAGACCTAGAGGGTATCGCACAAAAACTAACAAAGGACAAATGTATGAAAGGTGGTAGACATATGGTTTTCTTTGCCAAAGAATACTAAAATTCTGCTGTTTCAGACAGAGATTTAACAAATCCGCTGGAGAATATGAAAATGTTAGAAGCTATACATCAGAAAGACCCTAAGCTGGAAAAAAAAGGTGCAGTGGTTCTCTAAAAATGTCTCACCTACTTGTCTTGTTTTTACTGGGCTCTGGACACTTCCCTACAACCACTGCAATGGAGAAATAGAGAAGTACAAACTATTCAGTTTTGATCTTTGTGTAGTAATTAAGGACTCAGACTTGGTAGCCTGCTCGACTGCCTAGAATCAAAAAGCTTTTCCTTACAGTCTGTATGCATCTTTTTTTTTACACTTTCATTCTGCCTCTCAAGCACCTCACCAACCGGAGAGTGGCTCTGCCCTTGCAACACCCTTCTCACAGGCAGTGGCACTGCCCTTAGTCCCCGAAGCTGTCTCTTCTCAGGCAGGACAAGCCCAGCTCACCCAGTCCCTCCTCACGGGTCTCCTGACACTGGCACGGTGACTCTCCAATGGACTTGTCACAGGCTATTGATGCCTTTCCCATACAAGAAAAAGGGGACAAAACATGACACAGTAGTTGCTCTCAATTATTGAGTTGTGCCTTGTGGCACAAAAAGCAATGGATGCAAAGTGGACTTATTAATTTCTTTGTTCAGAAAAAAACTAATATATGCTCTCTTCATATTCAATCATCTCAAAACATTGCTAATAATGGAAGTTGCCCAGCTAAAAGGCAGTAAAGTAATTCAGATCTATTAAGATCTTCTAAGGAGAACAGAGAAGTCCCATTGAAGATAAATCAGGCCCCACCAAAGTCAGCTAAAATATTGTTATTGATTTGCAGAGATATCAGAATATGACTCTTCATGGCTTCTTCTCAACAGCTGAAGAGTCAATTACCAAGATTTTCATTAAAAGCAATTCAATTTTAAGTGCTACCCAGATATTTCCACTACTGTCAGATATGACATGTTTGAACACACAAGGAAAGGTGGAGAGGCCAACTAGGTAGCTGCTGGTACACTGTTAATGTTCCTTAGCTTTAACAGCACTGAGCACAGTGAAAAACACAATAGAAGCTTTAATTTTAATGAATTTCTGTAGAAAGCAAGCAAGCAATTTCTAACAATAGCTGTTTGTCCTGGAAGCATCTGCAGACACTTTGGTCCAAAGAGATTGTGAAGTGCAGCACAAATCATGACCAACATCAGTAAAGAGAAAAAATCTAAATGAAGAATTCTAGAACCTATTTTGAAGAATGGTAAGGTGAAGAAGAAAAGCAGAGGGTTAATCTTAATATGCTGGAAATATAACATTTAAGAACACATTGATTTGGAGGTTCTAAAAATTGGTGGAACATATCTGTAATAGAGAAAAAACTTCAGTGTGATTCAAGCAAGATTTTAAAAAACCCTAATGGTGATCCTGCAAGTAGTTGCACTTAAACCCTCTGAACCACATAAAACACCAGAAGTTTTAAAGAAGTTTTAAAGAAGTTTCAAGTCAACATTTGACATTCCTAAGGTATTTAAAATTCAAGAAAAGTTCTATTCCACAGAATTCTTTAACATCCACCCCCCAGATCTCAGTCTAAGAAACATATGTCAGCAGAACAGTGGACTTAGCTGAACCTGAGATTTGTCCTTACAGAAGGACAAAGGGATTGCTATTTTTTTCCCAATATTTTCCCAGTATTTTGCACATAAATCATTGACAAACTTTTTTCCCAGAAACAAGGGTAAAGAACTATCTTGGTCTTCTCCCCATTTTTCTCTAAATTTTTTTCTCAGATTTTCAAAAGAGGATCGATGGAATTACAGCAGTATTTCATTAGAGTCACATCAAATATCAGGAACTCTTCCACAAATAAACCACAATCAATCAATTAGATCACTTCAGTGGTGAAGATGTATAAACAACTGATTAATGTTTAATGTCAAACTCCTTACAAAGAAAAAGAGGCAATAAATAGTGCATAAAGAAACCTCCAAAAGCTCAAGGGAACAAAAGTTTTACTTTCTGGTTTATTGCTAAAGTGAAGTTCTGTACAACTGATTTGCAAGCATAATGTCAGTGCAAAAGTACCTGTCCTCAGATGTACAAAGAAATATGAAAAAATAGGTATAGACATACCTGGTCCAATGCAGAACGATGCAATGATTGCAAGGATACAAAATATACTGAGGTAAGGAAGCCAATACACAGTGTTCTGGGTGGATAAAAGACATTAATTTTAGATATTTTGTACATATCACAAATATTTTTTAAAACTTGCAGATAACAGATAGTGTTTTCCATGATTCTTGATCTATTTCAGAATTTAATCTGGGGTTACTTTAGAAAATCCCAGTATTTCTGTAGGACCTTATTAGATGATTTGTGTTTAAAGGCTTTGGTCTCTATGAAATCCCTGTAGAGAAACACTAGACAAGCAATGTACCACAGTCAGAATTCTAAAAAATCACGACATCTTGTGGTAAAGCTCAAGCCAGCCTGGAACACTGAACACTTCAGCACCTCCATCCACCTCTTTTAAAACATCCAGTAATGTTTTAAAAGAGCATCTAGGGAGGCTCACAGAGCTTCACAGTTCACCAGTGAAAGGCTTGGCTGACGACTATGGCTGATATTTGGTTGGACAATCAGGATCTGAACCTTGGCAAAGCATGGGAAAGCCACAGTCCAGGGCTTTTCAGCTATAATCTGATTTTGCAGACAAGGAAGTCCATATATGCCGTCTTTGCTCTATTTCTAAGTAGACTTTTCTCTACTGAGACCTCCAAAAATCAGGAACTTGAAATACGAAGAGCAATTCCTCTGGAGTTTGCAGGACACTGTTTCTTAATAATGTATGTGAATATTTGATTCTTATACTAATAGATGAGGAAAAAAATATGGATACCCATTTCTTTCTCTCTCCAACAGGTGGAATTGCAATGCAGCAAAGTGTGAATGATATTTTTAATAGAATTTTGTTATTTTTGAAAAGTTTGTTACCATACATGTAAGTGTACTATCACTACCTTGAATGGCATTGTAAAAATATCCTTTCTAAAGAAAGTAATTATTTTTTCAGTGTTAAGGAAAGGCCCCCATTTTCTGATGTTTTTCCTCTTCTAGTCTGGGTTATTTCCTTAGTTCTGGAAACCATGGTCTCCTGGACATTATCATTAACCAAAAGGGTTGTAGATCTATCAAAATTACACAATCTAGGGTTCTTGTCTGGAAGCAAATCCAAGGTCTCTGAGAAAGAGCAGGTGCAAATATGGAGTAGATATTTAACATGTCTCAAAAACAAGTCAGTATGGTATCTTATCTAGGACCATTGAAAAAAATGTTCATTGTTTGAATGGCTCACAAATTTCTCTGAGATTAAGCCTATTTGTACCATGATACTTTGTCCAAAGCAAATCTCTAACACTTTACAGTTTGAGACCCTTTTGAAAGGAGGCAAAACTGAAAGGCATTCAGACTTCAGGGATTTTAAATAGCTGAAGGTCCTCACACCCCCAGCTTAGCTTTAGAAGACCTGGAAGGGAATTTTTCACTTAGCATACAAAATATGCAATAGCATCTCTCTTCAGGAGGAGAGCTGTGTTACAGCTGTCCTGGCAGGAGAGTGAAGTAAAGCTTTATTGTGATGTACATTCAGGTAAATCAAATAAAACTGCAGTGGTGTGCACAGACCTGCCAGTCAACCTGACCTACTGACTCCCTTTGAACAAGAACAAGATTTGGAAGTCAGATTAATGGCACCACAAAGGAATCAAAACCAGCAGGAAAACACTTTGATGAAACACCACCCAAACCCACGCCATTGCAAATCTCAGTTTCATTTCTCCAAAATCCTCAGAAACATAAACAAACCACACTATTACATAGAGGGAAGCTAAATAAGAAAAAATATACAGGGCCAGAGTTTAAACTAGTTTAATAAATAAAATATGATAATTTGAAATATCTGGGGAATTGAGTGCTAATAACATCTGATAACTTAGAAACATATCATCATAGGAAGATATTGATTGAAAGAGACCTTTAAAGCTCATCTAGTTCCAATCCCCCTGCAATGAGCAGAGACATCTTCAACCTGTTCCAACACTTCACCATCCTCATTGCAAAATACTTCTTCCTAATACCTAATCTAAATTGACCCTGGTTCAGTTTAAAATTATTGCCCCCTGTCCTATCACAAAAAGCCCTGCTAAAGAGTCTATTCCCATCTTTCTTCTAAGGCCAAATGTTCTCCAAAGGATAATATATTGCCTATACAAATACCAGAAAAATAACTTGAAAGAAACATCAAATGTGGAAGTGTTTCACTAAAAATTTCCAAATGTAAAATAGGAATGACATATAAAGCATGAAAGAAATCTCAGAGAGAGTGAATTACAAAGATACACCCACAGAATATGGGTAAACTGTTTATTCAGCTGTGGGTAAAGCTGTCTTCATAATGGTTCATCATATGCATAAATCTTTGAGTTAAGGAGTCTGAATGTGAGAATATGAGAAAGTCCCTATAGTTCTTTTAATGCAAAATCTTTGGAGCAAACAGATTCATAAATTAGTATAAGAGACCTTTCCCTCCTCATGCCGAGCTGATTGAAAGGATTGGCACGTGCAGGAATGTCAAGACAAACCAGTATCAAGCATCTTTAAAATACAAAAATGAGAGAGTAAAAATCTGCAGTGCCCCTGGCGTTACCTGTAAGGTCAGGGAGGCAGTGAGCACTGCGAAGAAGACGATCATCAGCCCAAAGCCTCCAATGAGGAGAGGCCTGCGCCCAAGCCGCTCAATAACCAAGCCCTGGAAAACAAAAGATGGCATTTCACCTTCCTGAGAAAACACTGAAGAACTTGGATCATGAAATATGTTCTCTCATTAAATATGAAGATCAAAATTCAACCATGAATTGATTTTACACCGTTCATAAGCTACGACATTCATAATTGTGCTCACAGTTATATTTAGAATATTTAACATGTCTGAAAGAACAAGTCAGTATTGTATCCTTATCTAGGGCCACTGAAAAAATTGTTCATTGTTTGAATGACTCACAGATATGCACTAAATTTCTATGACAATGTTCATACAATACATAATTTTTAAATACCACTGCCTTTAAGTGAATTATAGTCTCTTGCTTTTGCATTTTGATTGTTTCCTTATTTCAACATCTCTCTAAATTTAAGCTTAAGACATTTAAAATTTGAGATTGAAATATTTTTAGCAGAAATTACATCTTAATTAAACAAAAATTTATTTTAAATTTCTTTCTTTCTCAAATGTAGAATAAGCATTTAGTTTTAATTTTGGATAATTAGAGTAATTAGAATATCCAAGCAAAAAAATCTATGCAGCAGAAAATTTTGCTCTAACACTAATACTTGTGCTGTTACACCCATTTTCAATTTATATTTAACATCTGAATATAAATCACAAAATCTGAATACTTATCTGCTAGAGAAAAACACAATGGAAAATTTCTTAAAAAGCTGTAACTGGAAACTCTGCTAGTCTGACTCATTAAAATAGGCTAATACGTATTTTGTCATAACAGCTGATGTACTTTTCATGTTGGTGACTACTAAAATTACTAATTACACTTGGCTTTCTTATAAGAAAAATAAGAGGATTTTATGAAGATTAAAATGTACCACTTCAAATAAGTTAAAGTCAGAATCACAAAACTATTTGCCATTTCATTATTGACTAGTGACTGAATGCCATCTTCTGCACATCCTTTGAGAAAAAAAAAAAATGGGCAACTAAAATGAAATCTGGAGTAATACTCTTAATTCTGGGAAACAACACACATCACCCCACTGCCAGCATCTAGAAGAAATGTGTTAAAGCAAAGTACAGAGACACCCACAGATGAAATGCCTTGAGAGGCAAATGCTTCTCCCTCAGTCTGGAGCTCACCAGGGGATTTTAGGGCAGGCTTGTCTGTCCTAAACTCATGTTGATGTTGCACCCTGAGCTGAACTTCCTCACCAGTGGTATGCTCTGTGATGCTGCAGATCACTGAAAACAGCTCTGTGGCAAGATTTTTCATTCTTTATTTCTTTCAATGGTGAAATATATTAATTTGGACAATTTCCACGGCTTCCATAATAGAATTTTGGAATTTTAAAAAGACCTGCACTGATATTAAGAAGATCTTATGAGGTACAAATGTTTCAAAACTGCAACTGCTTCACTGTCAAAACGTCTACAATATGGCAGCTATTTCCCATTATGATTAATAAATCCATCTTGCAAACACACATGACCACACAGACACTGAACCAAGAGACAACTTCAATGGCTTGGAGGGCTAAAAAAATATTTGATACGTCTGTAAGACCCATCTTCTGCAATTTCTGCAAGAAACTTCTGCAACAGATGTTTCACATGTAATTTGGAGTGGATCATATGTTCAGCAATAAATGTTGCACATGTAATTTGACATGCTGTGCAATTTCTCTTATTTTTTTCAATGCTGGATTGATGGTCATGATCAAGACATCTTGGTGTTACACAGCTGAGGGGTTTTGTATTAAAACAGGGCCAGGGATGATGCTTCTCTTAGAGGGAAAAAGTTCATAGATGCCTCTCATACAAAACATGGAAAAAATGTGATATATAGTTTTCACTTGTAAAACTCAAAGGAAAACAAATTCCAGTAAGGAAGGACAGTTTGGATTTGGTCTTCCATAACAGCACGTTTTCCTGGTGAAAGAAATGCTGGTTTTGAGGGTGTAAACAGACAACAACAACTTAATTTTTTAGTTATGATTATACAAATCCAGAACTTGTTCACTTGCAGAACCCGCTAAGATGCTTATGACTCATAAGAAGTGGAAGATGATTCACCATTTTCCAAGTATTTATAGTTCTGAATGCTCCACTGCTATGTACTGGTAACTGTTACCTATTGAAGATCTATAGCAAATCAAAATATGCTGTACAGAAGAGTAAATGAAATAACAAGAAATCCAGTGCATGCTCAAGTAGAGACAGCAGAGGAACATTAGGACTGTTTTCTGTGATAACACCTGAGTTATGTGCCAGGCTGTGTAGGTTGATACTTGTTTCTGTGTGATCATAAACATTTATTTGTAGAAATCTATACCCAGCCATGATGGTTAGCACAGATGAAATGATTGAAAATGTGTAAAAAATATTGCATCCAAAATTCTTACAACACAAATGTTTCGTGATAAAAAGGCAACTGATATACAAACTACATTAACAGCTCACACAACTTACTTCTGTCTGTCAGGAAACACTTGTGAATAAAGTTAAAGAAGCAAATGTCAACCTTTTCACTTGAGTCAGCTGCAGATACCAGGGCTGACATAATGAAAGCAGAGTGCATTAAAATAGATCAGACAAGCTTCCTCAGATAAAATGAATGTGCAAGCAAGTCCTGCAGTCCAAATAGGAGGTTGCATACTATTCCCTACTTATATCCTGGCCCTATATTATACTAAGCAAATCCTGTCAGCTTTTCTTGATGTCTCAGCTCTGTGAAGAAGTTTGCTCTCTAAGTTAATGTCAAGAATAGCCACACTTTCTTTCTCATATATTTTGGATAAAGGTCTGAGTAAGACTCTGTGACTGAACTCAGACTTACACTGAGCTAACACTGTGTTATTTCCATTTTAAATATCAGGATTAAAATGGATAACCTCATTTATACCACTCTATGACACAATGTGTAGTATCTTGTACCCAGGAAAAAGAGAGGAACAGCAGACTGAGAATTATAAACTGGGGGGTTTTATTCATACTTTGATGTATATCCATTAGTCTACTATAAGAATTATTAATTTTAAAACACAAAAGGGGGTATTGTATTTAAGTACCTAAACTGGAATTTAAAGGCATAGCACCAACTTTGACCACATAAGCACAAGCCTTAAAGAAATGTCTGTCTGCAAGGTTCTTACATCAGTTTGCCTGTATCTGTATTAAAGCCACAATTGGATCTTATAAACTTCTGCAGATATCTGTCTAAAGATTACTCTCAGTAAAGCATGGAATTGATTGCTGCATTTCTAAGCTCAGTCTGAAGTATTTTGCAGTGAGGCATCCTTAATCAGCTTCACTTGGCAGTGAAATTTTCTGTTCACTAAAGATGCTCTCCATACTCGATACCTGCCAAGACCAGCACAGCCAGGACATAGCCCATGCAAGGACCTATCTTATCCAGAAACTTTTGCCTCAGCAGTGCTTGGCAACAGCCCTAGGGCAGCACAAAACCACTCATTTCCTTATCCCTATTCTGTCCCTTGAGTAAACCGTAGATATTTCTGAAGCAAAGCTCCTTCTAGTGATGATTCAGTTGTTAAAAGTGTTGAGCTATCAAGTTTATGCTATAAAAGCCAGACTAGATCTCAACCTTGATCTTTGACAACTTATTGTGGCTGATGCTTTATTTTCTAATTATGGTATTTGGATGCCCTGTTGCAGATCATCCTGAATAGATTGATAAAAGAATTACTCAAATTCAATGCTTTTAATCCTCAGCAGCAAAAGATACATCTTTAAAACTTCCAATTTCTGAATTTATCCTACAAAAGAATTTGAGCTACACAAATGCAGCCTTTAACCATGCACACCTTGGGTCTTGGGAGTAGTGTTGTCAGGCAGACCTTCCTGATGAAACTTTTTCTTTTGGAAGGTACTACACAGACACTTCAACACATGCAGTCCTCATCTATTCAAAAGTCCATGTGTATTAAAAAATTACAAAGGAATAATGTCTTTACCTAAAAACAATCCTAAACAATCTTTACCTAAAACCAAAATGTTGATCAGTTGTGGCCTAAGCCAGTGTGCATTAGCACAGTCTCTCTCTGCAGTCCACCCTGCAGAGAAAATATGTCCAAATGCCTCTGGCCTTTGACAAACACCAAGGTCTGAGATGTTGCTTGCCCAATCTCTTTTCTACTGCTGTCTCTGTCTGGGCTACTACAGACCAAGATATCACCTTCAAATTCTGGCAATCCTTGGGCAACAGCTTGGAAGGGTGGGGGGAGAAATAGGGGGAATTGCCATGTTTGCCCCATTCTTGCCCTCTCTACTTACATACTACTGGAAATTGTGGGTATGTGAAGGCTGATTCTGAGTTGGTGGGAACAATGTCACGTCAGACTGCATTAAAAGTCTTACTAAAAATCAGATTCTAACAGAACTTCCTAGGAACCCTTGAGATTCTGGTATTTGTCACCTCATTTTTTTCACTTGCTAAGACTGGCTGTTACTTGGACATATCTCTTTCTCCTCTGATGGTGGACCCAGGGTTTCAGTGGAGATGTCTTGCATCATCCTGTGGAAACCATGAAGGAAATGTGTTGGAGATGAGAAAACCTCTGGAAGTATCTGGAATACCCTTTATTTAAGAAGTGCCATGCCCTGAGCAGGGAATATTTCCTTCTATACTGAGATCTATTAGCAATAAAAGAAACAAAGAATGAGTCTAAGAGCCCTTTCTCATGACATCCTAAAGCAGATTAGAATAATCTTGCTGAAGAAGGCTGGCTTCCCTGACTTCTGTGTGATACTGCAAAGGATTTCCTACATTCTCTTGTGGTCTAGTACTGCAATGTATTTTAACTCATTCCAGGCTTCACACAGCTTGTCTCTGTCACAGACTTTTAGTAACACCTTCATGCATCATCCTATGGGAAATACTTGGGGCACAGTCTTCTCAGTATAGTCACATCTAGACTCCTTCTGTGAACACTGTAAGAAAACCAAATTTGGTGCCACAGATGGCAAAATTGGATGTGGGATGCTTAATTTGAATAATATTCTCTTTTATTCTAGGCTGGCTTCATGGAGGAGGGAAGGAATCTTTTCAGACATTTCCTTCTGTCTCCCATTCACCCTGCTGCTGTGCTAAAGAAAGGCACTGGAAAATTGTTTTCATTGCCCACTGAGAGTAAGACAACAACTAAAATGAAACTGAATTACTAAAACTTAGGAAACAGCAACAGTAATCAATCTTACAGAAGAACAACTAAGTTTGTGGTACTTTAGAAGTTGTAGAACAGACTTCTACTAAACACAGGGAATTATTTAGGGTATATTCCACCCTGCTTCAAAGAATTGCATCAGGTTAGATAACTTACTGCTGTAACATGTCTATGAATAGTAAATCTACTCAGTATTTCATTCCAGAGGATAAAAACCTTCAGAAACAAACTTAAATTATGAGCACCACACTAAAAAGTAATTGTCTAGCAATTCCTCTAAATCAAATCTGTGTTAAGTACAATGGGTAGAATTCTCTATCGTTAACCAAAAAATATACAGAAAATTTATATTGTCTCCCTAGAGAGAAGCCAGGGCATCAGGTATGCAATGGTATACATATTTCATTAAGTAAATTAGGAAGAGTTGGTGTAAGTGGAAGGTTGCAGCCAAATTATGCGAATGAAAGGAAAACTATGATGAGTGTTTCATTTTTCAATGTCTGTTTATATGGCTTTTGCTGGAAAGGCGGAGGGATGGAGCTGTAGGCAAATCATGCTACAAGGGGGCATATCAAGGGATCTGAGGCAATACAGAGCTATGAAAAGGATGGAATATTAATTGTCTTTCCTCATGGACCACATCAACATTATTATTGTTGTGCTGCTGCTGCTCCCAAGAGATGAATTAAAGGGAGACTTTCAGAAATTTTCACAGTTTCAGTATTTCGTCTCCTAAATATTACTTTGTTTCTCCATGAAATACATCTCTATTTCACTATTTTCCTTTGACATTCATAAGGGTCCCATCAATGGAGGTCATCAACACCAAAATATTCTTACTGAGGCTCAATCTCATGACTACCTAATTTATATATAATGATCACAGATGGTGCATGATTTCTAGTGGACATTTCCAACTGCTATTTCATTTAAGAGGACAGAAACTATACCTCTATAACTGTTTACCTTTACTGAAATTGTGAAGTTTATTGGGAGTAAAATCTGGTTTCTGCTAGCAAACACAACATATTTAAAAATACCAGGAAAATGGAGTTTTCTTCTTGCTTTCTTCTGTATATTCCCTGAGTAATATAAAAGGCTTAACATTTAAGGCTGTGAAAGAGATTTTTTATCAAAGGAGACATTGGGAGAGGTTGGGAGTGGGAGGAATCCTGTCCTCATCACTAGGCATGAAAACTTGATGGGAACTTACTCAAATAAAGAAGCTGCAAAATCTTCAACTGAAAATGAAATTCATGTTGCTGTTCCTTTAAACAACAGAAATGAAACATTTATGAAGATTAAGGAAATAAAGTTTAGGCTAAAAGGCAGTGTGTCCTGAACTGAGAAATTGGAAGGGAACAGGTATATTGGCACATCAGCATTTCCAGAGGCACAGCAGGTAGCACTAACAAAAAAATTATTAAGAAAATCTCCTCTTGAGTACAGAAAGTTAAAACACATACCAGGAGCCAAAGCACACCCATCCACCTCATTATGTGTGAGGAGTGTGCTCTGAAGAAGCGCCACAAACTGACAGCACAGAAGGAATTGAAAAATAACAGACCCTATTTATAGAATGTCTTTAATATCATGGAATCATCTCCATGTAATTATCATCTGTTTTCACATAAAAGAGGTGTATTCTTCACCTAAATCAGTGGTAGAATTATCATTATTATTTTTCCATATATCTTAAACAAAGAACCATGTGTGCAGTATCACAAAGAAATTGTAAGAGGTAGGCACTTTCATATTTCTCTATTTCTACCTATTGAAATGAATCATAAAATAAAAGTCTCTTTAATATAAAAAAAAAAAGTGGAAAACAGATTTGTGGAAATTCACAAACATCCGAAGGTTAAATGTGACCCTGTAGAGTCCTTATGTTCTAGACTATAAGAAAACATACCTGATAGCTGGATTTAGTTTAAAATTTTGTAGGTCACAGGCAGTTACTCTGCCACTGAAAAGGACCCTTTTTCCAAAACCATTATTCTGACATTTAAAAATGCTTGCTGCTGTATTCAGTATTGTTCAGGCGGAGTTGGTATAGAATATATGAAGTAAAAATTCTAACAAAGAAAGGTCTGCTGGCTTGTTTGCAGCTTTCCATTCCAAAGACTTCTCCCATTGCTTCTTATCTATTGCAGTACAAACATAAATGTATTTCCTTTAGCAATTAATGATGTAATCACCTACTAAAACTTGAAGTTTTAGTTTGCTCATTCAGTGTATTTTTTTTCCTAGTCTTTTCCTGTACATAGATGAGTTTGTCTATGGACATCTCCCTCTGCATTCAGAGCAGAGCAAAGGACCTGCTCTGGAGCCCATGGGTTAGGAAAGGGTGCCTGTTTGTGCTGAGTGAGCAGCAGAATTGAACACCGCATGAGACTCCCTTGCTCCAGCAGGGTGGCTTCACTGCTCCACCTCCCTGGGTGGCTGTTCCTGCCGGCCACACTGAACATCTGTAGCTGTGCTGTGCCTGAGCCCTCTCCAAACAGCTCCACAGCTGCCCAGCAGGATCATGAGAAGACTGAGATGAGAATAAACCTCTGCCAGGTAAGGTTGTTCTACCAGGTGAACTAATTTATGAGTCACCACTTAATATACTTTGGCCCTTGCTGTTTCTGACTTATTTCTCTTCACACATACAGAGCGCTGCAAGTCATACCAACTTTTTCTGTTCCTTTTGTGGATCTAAAATTAAAGAACATCTTAAAAAAATATTCCAAGAAAACAATTTGGTTTAGGATTAAAATTAGAAATAATATTTTGAATTGCATTATCAACCATTACACTTAATCAACATACTATTCTTTTTATATTTTTGGCTGTATAAGAAAATAAAATCTAATAATATTAAAATATCAAACATGCTAATGGATTTTCATAACCATACTTACAGAGAAAACGGCAGCCAGAGTCTCAACACCACCAGTACTTAGTGTAACATAAGGGATTGTTTCACGATTGATCCCAGACTCACTAAAGATGTTGTTTGTGTAGTACCAGATCTGCATCAGAGAGAATAAAATGAATTATTAATCATTACAGGTTGAACTACAATATATTGGTATTCAGTCCAACCATTCAATCTGCTTGAGGTGAGACTTGTTACAACTCTGAGCACTCCCAAGGCACGGAGGGCTGAACAGGACGACAGACGTAGGGAAAGTGCAAATTCCAGGTGGGTTAGGCACAATGCTGCTGTAGTTCTACTTGCAGACCCAGGTAGAATTGCAAACAGCTTCAACTCAATTTAGCTTAATTCACTTTAGGAGTAAATCAAAGAAACTCACTCTATGCTCACAACAGGATACAAACAGGTTTCATGTGGCTTACAAAGCAGGTTTGTGTAGCTTTATGGAATACTTCAATAGGATGCAACAACAGAGGAGAGAACAGGAAAGAGATGTTGTGAGGCAACAAGAAGCTGCTCATTTTTTGGACAGAAGGAGTGAGGTGCTATTTCTGCTTTAACCTTACTGGAGTGTGGATACTGGAGCTGCAGTCAAGCCATCCCACCAATCTCTCTCTATTATCCACAGAAAGAAAAGATACTTTTAAGATTAGAGTTGCTTGAGGAAAAGTAATATGCTGTTTTAATCAGAGGCTTGAAGTAGCTGTCACTAAAGGATAGAAATACAGGTTGTATGACTTAGAGGAAGTCAGTCATATTTAGTCATTAAAACCATATTCAGGCAGAGAATATATAGTGGCAGCATTCTAAAATACCAAGTCTGGTAAGCACCAGGGCCTCATTCACATCAACTTCCCACTTTGGGAAAGAGTCCCTTAGAGCAGTACGTCATACAGTGTATTATACCTCAATATGAAAAAGTATAACATTCACCAGTGAAACTTCACCCTAGTTTTGTAACTTATTTAGAACTGAGATAAAATGGTGGAGGATAAATAAGTTTATTATGGTTCATATGTATCAGGTAAATGTTAACAGAGTAGAAGAGAAGAATAGGAAATAATTTATGTAAATTTAGGTCAGGCTGCCTGGTATTTTGTTCTAATTGAAAACATTAACATGATTGGAGCTTCACCATGATTTCTGTTCCATGTTGAAATAAACAAATGTACAGTTTTAAGTAAAAATAAATTTTGATCTTAAGTAAAATCCTTAAAAAGAAGCAAGTGTTCTCAAGTACCAGCAGGATGATTACACAAATCTGCCAGTTGGCAAATTCCCTGGAGAACGACCTGAGATTGTCGCCCGAAGGAATCCAAACTTTCCCATATGCCCTGTCCAGATGGTAGTTGTGGAAAAGACCAGACTGACTAACAGGGCACTACAGACAAAGCAAATCAGTTAGAAGGAGCCTTCCCTGCCAGCAAAACCTGGCTGGTGCTGGCTCACACCCAGCAGGTTGGTTCAGAGGCACTCAGGCAAACCATGACCCGGGTTCACCAGTATCTGTCACACCTGGACCTCTCCTCTCATCTTGGAGCTTTGGATGACTCGAGCAGCATCAGCCAGGGAATCCAAGTGATCCAGCTATTTCTCTTGACCTCTCAATTTTCTTGGTTTTACTATTAACTGTTAACTGTTAACTAACAACTGTTTAAATAATCCATTTCAGAACAAAATTTTTGTGTGAATAATTTTTCTTCATGTTTGGTGACATTGCATGAGAGGAGAAACAGATTAATAATAAAAAAAGAAGGCTTGAAATAGCCAACCCAGCACACAGGTTCCCTGACAAAGACAGTTTTTCTGAGGCATATTTTCAGAAAGTGGCCATCCAATGACACTTTTAAGTAACTCTGGCATCCATTTTGGACTGGAGATGCCTGACTATCTACCCATACCCTAACTGAAGCCATGAGAACCTGGTTTCGTTCTGCCACAGAATACTGGACAATTTCCATCAACTAGTAAGTATCCTCAAAGTCACAAAACTCCTTCATTTCCCCTGAAAATTTAGATGTGATCTTTTCTTATAGGCAATGTGCTCCATTGAACAGTCTGTTTACTACTATAAGTGTCATTTTTTCTCCATTATGTGCTGATAAATCTTAAAAAGACTGGATGACAAGATAATTCTGGGGCTTTTTTCCTCAAAAATGTATCCACAATGAGGAATAAAATAACCTGCCATTAGCACTGAAATCCTACCATTAGAAGAAAACTCCACCTATACAAACATTATTGTAGTTTACCCCACAGGATGAAAAAACTTTTAATTCCCTCCTAGTATTTTGCAAAAAGCTTTCAGATACAAGAGTTCCAATTGCATTAATCTTTTAAATAGTCTTAGAAAAATTGCTTTTATTTGGAATCTTAAAGCTGCAGAGATACCTGAGAGAAGCCTGAGCTAATATTCACAGATACAAAAGCACATAGATTTATTAGCCTTGGGGGGAATATCTAGCTGGAGTGTGATGCAGAGCACAATGAGAGTTCCTTGCATGAGCAAGAATATTGCTTATATATATAAGCAAGTAATGCCTTTGAACTACGATAAAAAACCCCTTCCCTCTGAGGTGCTTCATGAGAAAATTTGTTTTGTGCAGCATAAAGCATCTAAGCCAGATGCCACAAGCTGCAGCAAGGATAGTTCTGGCTGGATGAAAAGAACACACTTTCCACAGTGTAAGTGGTGTAAACACCTGGCAGAGGTTGCCCAGGAGGGTTATGACTCTTGACCCTTGAATATGTTTCAAACACAACTGCACAAGGCCCTCAGTGGCCTGAGAAAACCCTGAAGTCATTCCTGCTCTAACCAAGGGCTTGGACCAGTTGGAGGGATCTTCTGACCTAAACTGTCCTGTGACCTTCTCATAAAGGCTCAGATAGGTGCTGAAGGAGACTTCTGATATCCATTAGCCTCAGACACATTAATGGCCAATAGGATTCACTGTTTTATGTCTTTTCCCTCCTCTTTTTCTTCACTTTCCAAGACAGGAATACTGAAGCAACAAAAAAATCAAATATGCAGTGCAACCTTTTAAAATCCCTTATAGGAAGTTTTGATGACTTCTGTAAGTACTGAACTGAATGAATCCAAGCTGAAATGTCTACTGCAAAAACTCTGAATAAGCATGGGGCATGTTCAGAAACAGAGAATCTGAGCATCAGAAGTGAAAGCTGCATCCTCTTCCTTTGCTGATCTTTTCTACCTTTTCATGTATTCCTTCAAAGTTAACACAACATGGCTTTCCTCAAACATTTTTTGTTTTACAAGCCCCCAAGAAATACAGATCTCTGGATCTTCCCACACACTGCTGTCACAGAGTCACTGCTAAAGGGAATTCACAGAGGTTGGTAAATAGTGTGATCCAAAGCTCGTTATAAGGGAAAGGGGCTCCCCAGGAGGTGCCATGGCCCGAGGCAGGACACTTACAGCATTCAGCCCACAGAGCTGGTAGCAGCCCATGGTGACGACCACGGTCAGGATCTGCCATCGCACCGCGCGCGTTCGCAGCAGCTGAAGCACCGACACCAGCTTGGTGTTCCTCTGGGCCCGAGACTCTGCCAAGACTTCCTCTATCTCCTGAGACACATCACCTTTCCCAAGGAATCTCTGAAAGGCTGCAAAGACAGGACATGTACTTAGGCCAGACACTTGGCATTGTGCGCATTTATAACTGTCTTGCTTCTTTAAAATGGAAATGTTTGGCACAAACAGGAGGCATACATGGGCTACAACTCAATTATTCTTCTGCCAACAATACTGTTCTGCTCCAGATGTGATCTGGTTCATCCCTGTATTGGGCTCAAAAACTGAAACACAACCATAAATTGTCTCCCTATGAGATCTCTCTTATGTTATTTCATATATAATACAGCCTAAGGTCCAGTGAAGAGTGAAAACCCTGTGTGACTTGAAAATATTACCAGAGTGCCTCTGAACACTATTTGACTTGACTTTTGCAGCCTAACAGTATAGCTGTTCATTGCTGGAGGTACATTGGATAGAGAAGTAGCAAGATGTGAAGGAAATAGTAAGATGTAAAAATACATATAAGTCTGGTAAACCAAGAAAAGGCAGACATTGGAAAGGAATAGCTACTACTCTTCATACTTCCCCTTGTTTTTACTAGCATCCAGACAAGAAATCACTTTGTCAAGGTAATTAATACTAGAAATAATTACCCAGAGCAGTTCAAGACTTTATATTTATCAATGCTGGAGTCATGGGAACAAATTTATATGGCCAATGTAAGGAAGCAACCAACCTCATCTCCCCAGAAACACACCACACCATTTTGTATTGCACACTGATATCTTCCTGAAATATCCCTCCACTAATAATACAGGCTTTACACCTCCCACCTCCTTCAAGACAGAGATACCTCCAACTGGATGTGATGTGTCTCCACCAACCTTGTTTGACAGATGCTGTCTATGCAGTCATAGATACTTTTGTCTCAATCTAATGAACACACCCCAGGGGCTGGCATTTTAAGAGATGTTTAAAATGCTCATCATCTCAGAGTCACTGCAGAGAAACAATGACATTACAAACACCCCTGCAACAAGGCTTTGCGACCCAGTAGGATGCTAACATTCAAAACAATCCTTTACACAGCAGGTCACTTGAAATTGTCATTTTTATTAAATGAATAAGTTCATTTAGTTCACCTAAGAGCAAAACCATTTTTTCTTATCCACAGCTTTGCATAACACTGCCTATAAACAAGTGACCACATATTTTGGTATGTTTAACACACCTTTGGATCATAAAAATCACTTAGATGGTCAAGAAAACTAGAGATGCTGACCAGTCATGGTTAATACATCCAGAATTTATTTAGATTTTGAAGTTAAAAAATTTTATCTTTACCCAGGTGAAAAGGGCAATTTGTGGCACTTCATTGCTGTGATGGATAAGACACACAAATGAACTGGTGACCTCCCAGAGCATCCCTCTCTGATACTTTGCTGAATGCACAAGGCTGCACATTCTGCCTTCTCCTGGTCTGGCAGTGGAGGGAGCTAACTTGAGCTCTGGGCCAAGCTTTTCTGAGGCACACAGCACTTCTAATGCGTTTTAATGGGCCCCACCTGATTCTGCTTAACAGCGATGATGATTTTTTTAAGGCATGAATGACCTCTGGGTGTTAAATCAATTCATAACATTCATATATTCTGATAACCAGTTTCTCTCTTGTGAGACGAGAGGTCAGAATTTTTAAATCTCCCAGTAAAAGCAATTTCACTTATCTTTTCACACAGGCTGTACAATCAGAAATGAATGAAAAAATTGAGACCTCAGAACTAAAATTAAGCTGCTCAGGTTTGTCCTTGGTTTTTGCCCAATTTTTAATAAATAACACTCATTGTAACAAGTGTGATCTATTTAAAGACAGTGATAAGACTTGTAAAATTAGAACAATGTGTGTCTACAGTGTGTTTAAGTCAATGTCTCATACTGAAATTACACTTTCCTCAGTACTATTAGAATGTTGATCGAGAAAAATTCAAGTAAAGATGAGAACAACCAGACATATATCACCATAGTCTTCCACGAAAGGATTCTCTCAGATTTTTAAGCATCTGGTGTAAATTAGGTCAGTGCACAGTCTTCTTTATTTTTCCCGTTCTTAAAATATTCATCATTACTTTAGGTCACACAAGTCAAAAACATAGGTGCAATCAAGTAAAAAGATAGCAATCTGTCTTTTTTGCACAAGAGAGTTTGCTGTATTTCTAGAAGGACAAGGAACTAAAAAACTGCAATTACCAAAATTGTCAAGTACAAGGCAGGAAAAACATAGACACCCGACTTCTTTTCTTTCCTTCACGGCATTAAGTAAAAAGATATAAATGCCACTAGGCAATGGTGATGGATATTAAAATTACCAACAAGTCAAGAAATACTAAGAAATTACTATGCTATCCATGCACAGTTTTGAATAGGCATCACCCAACCTTCTTGGAAAAACATTTTCCTGCTACTCAACATCTTTAATTTTCTTCCATTACCAGCTTTTCAGTACCATAAGAATCACAATTTTATATATAAATAACGTGGAAAGAAATTCTGCATTAGCAGAGAGCAAGGGAAACTCAAAAGTCTCTCAATGTGTGATGTTCAATTTATTAGTTTTACAGTCTAAACCCTGGCATTGCTGGCACTGAGAAGCACAGAAGTCGTTCCTCTCCTCGCTGCAATGACTCATTTCCCTCCGTGACTGGCTGCCTCTCTCTGTAGGGAAGCTTTATTTTCATGTAACACTTAAAACATCTAAGGAGTTGCAGCTCTAGAAACTTTTAAAAATTTCCAGATTCCTATTTAATTCTTTTGGATCAGAAGGTTTTAGAAGCTCAGCCTCCAAAAGCTGGAATACTGCCTTCATAAAATAGGAAAAGAACTGGATGGTTCCAGTCAAAGGGAAAGAAGTCAGGAAGCCCTTCCATTTACTCCACCGGTTTTTATTCATCTCACCTAAGTGAAGGTGAAGCACCTGAAAAAGGTTCAAATATCTGGAAAAAAAGTCAGTTGGTACCATCTCTAAAACAAATCAGGCCTTTAAATTAACTGAAGAGGGGCACTCAACATCTCAGCAACATAGGGAATTACTAATTCTTTTTCCACTATAGTACTTCCAGGACTTGGCAAAGAAAGCAGTTATTATCAACAGAATTAGCATGTGAATTTTGAGAAGAAATTTTAAAAGATCAAAATGCTATTGAGTGGTTTACAGTATAAAGCCAGCACCAGGCAAAGGGAGACAGAAAAAGAGAAGTAGTCAAATTCTGTTTGGGCTTATTCTTTGAAAATAAATGGAAAAAAAACACTAAAATAAGCTGCTGGAATATTATTGTTATCTGTTTCCCATGGACACATTCACTTCCCTGATGATCAATTATATTAAATCCAGTGTCACCCTGTCTCACATATCTTTGTCTAAGTTCTGCTTAAACAGCATCTTATTTGGCCACTGTTGAAGATAGATAGTAGAAATTTCCCTGTAATAACTCCACGTTACCACAGAAATAATTCACAACATGAACTAACAGTTATTTCATATAAACTAATGTTATTAGAGTACTGTGTATCCAGAAGAATAACTCGGGTATATCTTCCTATAAGAGATATAAGTATAATCTTCCTAGAAGAGATATAAGTATAATAATGCTATTTAAATCTAGAAAAATATAGATTACCTAATAGCATGCAGCATAGCAGAATTTAAGAGAAAAAATCTCAGAAAATATAACTACAGACAAATTACTTCAGGCTTTTCGCATATGTCACCTCCCTCTTCTTCTAAGTAAAGAATACACAGATCTTTTTTGAATTATTATCCAGTTAAGGATTATATTTTTGCCTGCTTGTATTTGTGGTTTTACACACATCAATAGGCTTGTTCAGGTTCACCTGAAACTAGCCAATATGTACTGGTAAAACAAAACATATACATGCCACACTAAAATAACACAAGAATTGGCAAACAGAGTTGTATTAAAGGTCCAATGACATAATATCCTTTCTAAAAGACAGGAGGCTTAAGAAAAGTTTAAAAACAAATCAGACACACCACAATCACTCCAGCTTTTGGCAGGTAAAAGTCTGAGATGAAGCCATCATCAAAAGCCAGCAAGTGCAGTAGTCATGGCTGTCTCTTCCTTTCCAGTAAGAATAGTTTCTAATCCTTACAGACATACAAAACCCACAGAGAAACAAAAATAAATAATATGTGTGCTTGTTGTCAGTCATAACAACCAATTTAATCACTGGATTTGCAGCCACTTGTTCCTGCTGTTAAAGTTTGGGTTTAACACCTCTCCAGTCCATGTGGGCCCCCTGAAGGGCTTCGTAAAAAATTGGCTGCCTGCTTTTTTAAATCAGGAGTGGCCTTGCTCTTTTGTCACATGAAAAGATATCAACCCCAATCCATCTTTCTGAAAATTTAAATCCATGCTTCTCATTATTCCTATTGCAATGCTTTTTTCATAACCATGGGACTTTTAATGTATGACTGAACATACTGGATGAACAGATTTTGTATGTCACAAACAGATGTTGCTGTGACATTTTATACAAATTGTTTGACCCTTAAGACATAACGATATTTTTTTCTCTGGCAAGCTGGGATACCAGCTGAATTATTGATTTACATGACCTGCTACTGTGGCTGCATAGAAAATGCAAGATTCCTCCCTGTAAGAGTGCACTTCAAAAAAGACACCTCAACTCTCCAACTGCAAGTATTAATAACCCATGTTTTTAGTTGTAACAAATGTTCCATTTTATCACTACTACTTATTTTATTTATTTTACATCGTTGTGATACTCACAGATCAGGGGTGCACTTGGCATGCAACTAATAGACAGCCAGTGTGAAATCCCTGTCTTAACTGTCCTAGAACTTGGATGGTAAACTGATGTAACTACAGCAGCAAGTTTTTCTTTTTCTTCCTGTTTCTATCCCTGTCACTTTTCATTTCCACAATCTCCTTCCAAAGTCCTTCTCTTCAACCACTTGAATATCCATTTCTCTTCTGCTGTCTGGCCTTGATTGAGAAGGATCACACCAGTTAAATGCTAGGCAATTTCTTATCAAATGAGAAGAATATTAGTTATGGGACCTGGGAGAGGAGCTGGGGTGGTTCTGCCCTTGCTTCATTACCAGATTTTTGTTCTTGAGCAAAGCAGGTTTACAGATTATGCTGCTGTTCCAGTGGACAGTTCCCTCCCCAAAACACATGGATCAGTTCTCCCATGCTCAGCAGTGAGAGACAGGAATATGAGAGATAGTTCAGATCCTTTGGGTCTCAGGGAGTAGGATATAGGTTGGTGACATGCAGGAAGATGAGCCAAGCTCATCTGTCAGTGCTGCTTTTGGCGGCAGAGAGCAGCAGGTCAGACACGACGCCCGTGTGTCGGCTCAGCCGCGCACCGCGCACACGGCTGGAAAGGGGAAAGCAGGGCACTGGGTAAAGCCCGGCTAATGGGGCTCAGGGGACCTCACTCATCTGAGGCATCGCTGCCCCTGTGCCCCAAAGAATAGTTTCTCTCACGGTGCTGTGGCTTAGGCTTGCACATGATGCCTCTCTAACCCTCCACCCTCATCCCTTTGTTTTTTCATTGTTCAGACATCACGTTTTGGTCCTTCCCCTTCTCTCATCTCTTATTTGCCCCTTAAAGATATCTGCCACAAAAGAGGTTGACACCACTCGTATTTTGGTAGGTAAAGGCTTGTTGCCTCCTGAGACAGAGAAGAAAAGGGGGGGATGAAAACAGGGGCAAAACTTCGTGGAAACTCAATGACCTAAATTATCTCACTGGATTTTATTGCTCTATAACAATTAGGAAGATTAATGTTGTCGGCTCCATTTTAGGAGCTTTGACATACATGCATACTTTGGAGTATTTCATAAAGACTAACATAGTCATCAGCTTTAAATACAGCAGACCTTTTGCAAATAATAGTTTTATATTTCTCTGACAAGGTATAATCCACAGTGAAATATATATTTGCATGAATAGCCTTGATCCATTAAGGGAAAGAAAAAGGATTTAGTCAGTAGAAAGAGTTGCAATTTTCCAATATTAATATGCAGATTTAAGCTAAGAGGCAAATAATTTAAAAGCATTACTGTAGTCATCATTAAAATGAAGAATTCTGCTTTGTCATTATATGACTTACAAGCAGAAGGGCATTTTAATAAATCACAACTCCTCCAGTCTTCTTAATACTTAGACTTTTCCTCCCCCATTTCTGCTGATAATGTGAATATCCAGATGATTTGTCTCGATTGTTGATTCACTCTCCTATTTTTTGAATTCCACTGTAGACCACAGTCAAAATGAGTTACACTGTGTATTACAACATATCTCAGAATTGAGTCTTTTCTTATAGAATTAATAAAATCCAAAAGCATATATTCATATGCAGTTACTTTGAAAAGCTTTTTATATCAGCTGTCTCTTTTTTCTCTGAGTATCTAAATTTATAGTCCTTAGGGTGGCTCATGAAAGCCATCTTCTTTTAATCAGTAAACCAATGGCTAAAGCTCATTTCCCCAGGCAACTGCTCTCCTCATGCTTTCTACTCCAGAACCTACCTCCAATGCCTCTGGATTAAATTTCAAATTATTTTCAGAACACGTATGCTGAAAACATCCCAGAGTGCAGTTGGCACATTACCAAGCAACAGTAAATGGTGTGAATTTCAAGGCAGGTGGTGTTATTTTACTGCCATGCTTTCTAATTTTTCAACTCTACCTATGAGAGGTCCAGTTTCACTGTCAGTGCTGAGGTCCCCAGGTACTGTAGCAGGATTTTCAATGGTTCCTCATAGCAAGTGTAACATTACGCAATTGCATTGCAGATGCAGAGCCTTTGCCAGCCATAGCTCCGGAAATCTATCTACAGTTTTATCAGGCAGAAACGAGCCAGTTTAAACTTGGCACCCAAAAGCCAAATTTCTTTCCTGCCCAGCCATGGTGCTGCAGAAGTTTCCACCTAACAGCCAACCTGAGCCAGGTCCTGCTCTGAGCACCACTGGCAGGGCAGCCCTTTCCTTGGAAAAGCTGCTCTCTGCCTCCTCAAAACTCTGCTGACTCCTTAAGAACACTTTCCAAAACCTTGTTGCTTTTGTGCTCTTTTTTTTTTTTTTTTTAAGCATTGAACTCTATGTCTGAGGCTCCAACCTTTATAGAATTCTTCATTCAACACCAAATTGAGACAACATGGGAGTCTCTTCATCAGTATGCTATTGCTTTTTCAGAGGGCTCTTCAGAATAAAAAAGGCCAATTGTTAGTTTCAAAGTAAAAGAAACTAGATGGAGTTGCATTAATTTCATGCTAAAAGGTTATTAAACTTATATTTCAGGTGTTGATACACACTTTACAAGTTTTTGCAAGCAACTAGTTCATGACTGAAAATGTTAAGGGTCATATTCAAACAAAGTCTTTAAGAATAATTTGTAAAGCACTTATATTTGGTATTTTGGTATTATAATCAGACTCCTTTTTTATAGACTCCTGTTTTTCATATGTTGTTATAATAAGCTAAACCAAACTTTTTAACATTCTCTCACCTCTATTGGGACCCTAGTAAATTTACTGGGGTGGGGAATGCAGCAACTGTGATCACGCAAGCAAATAGTTTTATACATGGAACCTGAATAAGGACAAAATATTCTGTGTCTGCAAAGCTGAAACAATATGGAAGCACTGGAATTTTTCAGTCAAACAGATGTATGGGGTTTTTATTAGATCAACAAAGGCTATTGAATTACAGAACACAGCAACTACTGGGGGGAAAAAAGCAGCAACAGAATCTGTGTTTTTATTAGACAAAGTGCAAAGACTGTAGATAAGGGAGAGCCATGATGACTGAAACCACCTTTTACTTTCAAATGAACCCTGCACAGAGCGGCTGGCACACAACAGCAGGATGATTTGGTTAGTTCTGTATCACTGTATGTGTAATGTTATATAAGTTACCTTGCTGGAGAATTTAATTTATAAAAACTTCAAAGCTACAGCTATATTTACGCATACAGAGACAAATGAAAAAGTGAGGAAAATTATTGTCAAGAGATTCTCTCCTATGAGGATATTCTGCTTCTAGTGTGGTACCAGAATCATGTGTCTCCAGCCTGAATCCCAACAATAAACACCCTTTGCTGCAAAAAGGAACATATCCTACCTTTTTCCGCCTTGCTCCTGTTATGCTTTTCGAGTAGGAGGTACCGAGGGCTTTCGGGAAGAAAAGGCAGAATCACAACTTGTATCAATGATGGAACAATGATGGCTCCAAACAAGAAAGGCCACCGAGATTCCTGCAAATGGATGCAAACAGGAGTCAGTAATACTCTCCCAAATTGACACTTGGAAGAAAAATATCTTTGATAGGAAACACTGTAATTTTTCATCATTCAAAGTACTGTGTCCACCACCAGAATGACGTGTTCCTCCTAAGCTCAGTAAGTGGTTTGAGCACTTCCCTCTCAAATCACTTTACTCAAGGGCCAAGTCCCCAAAGCACTTTCCATTGTCAGTTTTTATTTTCCATTCTTTCATTTCAGCAAAGCCTAAAGTATGTTCTGCATGGTATGGGATGTAATCCATGTCTCAAACCTGAAACAGGGCCCAAGATAACAAACTGAATAAATCCCAGAAATAGTCGGTGGGGTATCTCCTAATCAAACTTTTCACCTGTCCTTTTAGGTGAGAGAAGTGTTTTTAAAAAATTCTCCTGGGATGGGAAAACAACTTGAGAAAGTGTTTTTTCCAACAATTTAAAGCTTGAGGCAATTGGTCATCCTAAGAGCCTGCATTACCATGAAGGCTTCAAGACCCTATTTCTTAATTCCTTTTTTCTCTTTTTTTTTCCACTTGAGTGGAAAACTTTCTGTAATGTAGATGGACCAAAAGTGGTGAATATTGTTTATGGACAAACAAGCATGGATCTTATTTTAAAAACTAGAAAACTAAGGTTCTGTCTTTAAAACCAGTCAATAATTATATAATCAAGTGGGTACTGCTTTGTAAAGGATAACTTGGGAAAACAGGCAATAAAACTTGTCACCTTCATTCCATATCTGCCTGGAATAATTTCCTGCAATATAAACATCTTTGCTATGTACCATATAAAAAAATTATAGGGTGTTATAATTTTTGACAGTACCTCCAGATAAAAATGTTACTCTTGATCAGCCCATCATATTTTCTGAAGGTTTTTTCCCACCATGTCAAGGACACTTCTTAAAGGAAAAAAAAGTATTTTTTCTATACTGTTATTATCAGCATTCTTCCCTCCTACCTATGGAGATTTCCGTGGAATAAACTTACACTCCTTTTAAAGTCTCCTATAGTGTATAGGAGACTTTCTATGTTGGTCACATTTATCTCAAATAACTCTTTTTGAAAGCATTATTTTGAAAAACTTATGAACAAGACTCTGAACTTATCCTCCACAAAAAATAGAAAACTGCTACTATAATGAAAAGCCCTTTATTTTTGCCATATAACACTCTGAGTTTCCTTTATTTCCTCTGTTAAAGATTTCTGTTATACTTCTTATCATGCTAACTTCTAAAACCTTAAGGTAAACTCATAAATACTCAGAAATGCTCATAAATATGCTCCCACTTGCCATTTTGGCATGAATTGATCAGAAAGTCACTGAAGCCAGTGGAAACTTCTCCATCCATTTCAAAATATTTCATGCCTATTCAACATTTTGGAGCGTGTGCTCTACTTGCTTTTCTCCTCATTTACATTATACAATCTTAACTCCTTCCTTCCAGTACAGAAAAGAAATAGTAGGAGTAATATAAGCTTAAAGGATCATCAAAATTGCTGGAAATCAGGTTGAACTAGAACCTCTAAAGAGAACTAAGAGAAGCAGGCAAAAGGAGGGTTTCATAACCCCTTTAAGAAGGAATAGAATAGGACATATAGAGGGACAGTGCTCAGAAGCAGTAATAAGCTAAAGGCAAAAGACAGAGTAGGTGACTGAGAAGACACTTAAAGCACTTTACCTCAATTGTCAGCAGTAAGAAGAAGCACACAGGCACTGCTGGGGAAAATGAAAACAACTACATCCCATTTTATTTCAGGAAAAATTTAAAAGAGCATGAAATGTTTTAATTACAGGGGACCTGATTTCATCACCTGCTCAGAATTGGTACGAATGACATGTCAAGATGGTAAAATTTTCATTTTAAACTGTCACATTATGGATATTTGCTTAGGCTGGAGCATGAAAAACCTGGCTTTGATGTATTTACAAAAGACAGTTAAACAGTAGAGCAAGTTTGACAACCACAGGCTCATTCAAAGGTTGATGGAATAAAGTGCAAAGCTGCAGAGACAGAAGATTGGGTGGAAGGGAGGGAGATAAAGTATGGCATGGATTTATCAGCTGCAAATGAAACAAGATTATGGTGCACTGAAATGCAGTAAAGAAAATGTTGCCATGTCAGAAAATCATCAGCTAAAATGCAGAAGATGGAACTTATTGTAACCATCAAAAGGTGGAAAAGAAAGTGGCATGGAGAAATGTCAACAGGCACTGCTGACAGCTGAACTACCCCTATCAAATTCAATAATCTATTTAAGCACCAGTGCCATTTAGTATTCTCAGCAATTAGGAAGATTTTGATGAAATGTGAAGACACTCTCAACCCAGACCAGGTAAACAATATACACATAAGTATATTTTAAAGGGAGAACAGAATTGTTAATAAGGCCATGCAACAGAGGTTGGGAAGAAGTGCTGTAGTGCCCTGGACATGGGCACCCATGGGCCAATTAAATATCCCAGTACGAGATGAGTAACAGGAGTAAAGGAAACATGCAACTGTGACAGGCTTCACTCTCTTTGTTTCCCTCTAAATAATTTCACAGAAACAAAGAAACAGAATGGGTTGGAAGGGACCTCTAAGATCACCTTGTTCCAGTACCCTGCATGGGCAGGGACACCTTCTACTATCCCAGATTCCTCAGAAACCCATCCAGCTTGGCCTTGAACACTTCCAGGGCTGGAGCATCCACAGTTTCTCTGGGCAGCCTAGTCCAGTGTCTCACCACTCTCATAGTGAAGGATTTCTTCCTAGCACCTGTGCTAAACCTCTCCTCTTTTAGTTTAATAAATAGATTTAGTTATTTTTATCTATTTATTTTAAAAGCATAGTCTGGACATATCTGGACATATAATCTGGACAATCTCCCATTTCCAACTCAGCCACTACTCCTCACTCAGGTTCCTCATTTGCTCTCTGCCCGGAGTTTGGGTTTCTGTGCTGTGGAGATCCCCATGTCCTACTGAGCATCCTGACCCCAGCTGCTCCCAGGTAGGCTTCCCCCATCCTGTCTCCTGTCCAAGAGACAGGAATGAGTGAGCCAAGGGAAATGCTCACACCCCAGACAGCTTCTCCTAGGCTCAGGCTGGACATGGGGTAGCACAGGGCACTCCCCAGCCCTGCTCTGCATCCCTGTGCAGCCACCATGCTGCCTCACAGCACTGTCAAGGGCTTGGCTACCTCTAATGCTTGAAATGAGCAGGAGATGGTATCAAAATAAATACTCTTTTCCCCTTTTTAGCACTCAGTGCACAGGATGATCTGTGATCTCAGTGAGCAAGTCTATTTACCAGTCACTATTAAATAATCACCATTTAAGTATTTATTCTGGAATTAATTCCTTGGGGATGGGGTTGTGATGAATTTACTACAGTGCTGAACAACTTATAAACAGAAATGACCTTTTTGTATAATGTTCTTCTGTAAAATGACATATTTTACCCATTTTGTATGTGGGGAACAAAGACAAAAGCCTCTGGCATCCAATGCAAGATACTGAAAATATCCAGGAAATAGTGATTTGGTAGTCTCTTCTTTTTCATTTTCTATAGAAAACAGGAACACTTTTAAAATTTTAATTTTGCCAAATATAATCACACACAGAGACAGAAATAATTACATCTAGTCTAATTTTTAGATGCCCTGGAGCATCTTGCCTCAGCCTCCTGCTGCAGCTACAGGAGGATGCAGGTCTCTGTGATATTCTGTGCCACACCTGCCAGTGTCACAGGGACACCTAAGGTACCATAGGGCATCATGATGAAACTGTCTGCTCATATTCAAGCAATTCAATTTCGTCCTTTCTTGTACAGACTTGGCACAAAAATTGGATATCAGAAATATTCCATTTGCCCCACAAAAAAAAAAAAAAAATTGTATCCTTGCTCAGAACAGACTGGGAAAATTTACTTAGGCATGCAAAGCCCAGAATACTGCACAAGTTCAGCCTTTCTCTGTTAATCTGCTACCACACCACATAAAACACTCCTAAAAGTAAAGGACAACCACGCTGGCCTGGGGCCAAGGACTGAAAAAGCACTGAGATGGAACTAATATCTTAGCTTTAGAACTAACTTTTCTTCCTTTAGTCAAGGGTATGGCACAGTGGTGATGATAATGTGGCAGCTGAGAAAAGAGAACTTCTGCATCTCAGGCTTCAGAGCAGCTGCTCAAGTATAAGGTGCAAAACAACTGCCTTCCTCTTCCCTTCCTTGCACCACTCCAAACACTGCTCTGCAATCTCCTCTGGCTGCAGGGGATGTTAATCTCACAGTTATAGCCCTACTGGACACAATTTTCTCTTTGCATGACCCTTTCTGTTACCCAATTTGTCAAAGTATATTTCAATAACAGTTAAAAATTGCTTACCTTCCTGTTTAAAACAGAGGCAACTCAGACAATATGTGTATTTCACCTCTGTTCTGTAGCCAGATGTTTATTTTTACAGGTCCCTACTATAGCTATAACTCTGACAAGAAGATTACTCAGGTATCAGTATCTTCCCAGGTAATAATCTGTACAGAAAATCACAGACTCAAGGCTGTAGAAGTCTGATATAAAATTCACAGAAATCAGCAGGAGATTTTTGTTACTGAGTAAATGGCCTTTGGATAAGAACTTAAAACAGCTTTGAAAGTGTCTGGTGTCTGAGTACCATGATTTTCTCTTCACTAAATGGCATGTTAGATCATGGAAGTATTGAGAGGGAGAATTAAAGTATCTGTTGCAAGTTCCCCAGATGTTTTTTTGTCCAGCTTTTTATTGGAGTAACAGCTAACTTTTCACTGCACACTTATATGGCATAATTTGTCTCCATTTATTCATCTCCAAGAAAAGCATAAATTTCAGAGAAAAAGCAATGGGAAATGGGGAGCTTTCACATGGGATTATTATCAGCAGCCAGCATATATATTTGAGCTTATTTAGGAAGAAATATTAGAGGTATGCTGGAGCTAGACAAAATTTCTGACAGA